TATTTATTTCAAAAGTGTCCTCCAGTAGATTAATACAGCAATGTTGGTGACTGCCGAGTTCGACTTGAGGTGGGTACTAAATGGTCAAAAGTGGGTCAAAATCAGTGGGGGTGGGTATGAATTCGACTGGAGATAGATGGCTCATATGCAAAAAAAAAAAAAAAACATGGGTACAAAACTGACCAAATCATTTGGTAGAGGAGCTACTGTGTCACAATGTGAACAGGAAAATGCTTTTCATTAGCCCAGAAATCTAAATCGTTAGTTTCTGAGGCAAAAGGACTTTGCTTTGCATGTCAGTCTAGACATGCACCTTTGGAACCCCAGCAGCCCTATCATTGGCCTGAGCAGTATTGTATTATGCTAATCACATTGCTCTATTGGTTTTGTGGTCCAATCACAACAACAAGATGGTGATGGCTTGTTTAAAATGGCTATGGCATCAAATTTGGACTATTTGAACTTGGGCTTTTTCAAATACACAAGAGATAGAGGTATTTACATTTTTTGTTAGAAAAACGATGTATTTACGTATTCTTTGACCGTGTATGGCAGACTGCACCGTTGACTGACATCCGTAGTGGTGAGTGCGTCAAGTTGTTCGTTGTCCAATAGCATGTAGAGACAGGTTGAAAGACAACTGTAGATCCCATCCCATGACAGAGCTCTCCCTATGGGTCGTGGCCAAACTATTTTTTCTCATCTATAGGATGGCTTTCCAGACTAGTTTTTTTCTCTTCAGTTCATATTTTTTATCACTGCAACACATTGTTCACTTGTCTAACAAAGCCTCCTTAGGTTGTCTGCTGGTTGTTTAGAAATCCTAGTATTTACATTATAATCCATCAATCACTACATATCGAAAACCTGATCACAAAAGTAACAAGTCCAGCATGAAAGTCTCCAGGAACACTCTCCAAATCCTCCTGTAGGATACCAAGGTGTTCCCTGGCTAGTAAGAAAATTGAATCCATCCAGTGAATTCAAATTCTGGCTGCATAGGGTGAGACATACATTGCCATGACCACCACCAGGGCTGCAACAACGAATCGATAAATTCGATGAAAATCGATTACTAAAAGCGTTGGCAACGAATTGCGTCATCGATTCGTTGTGTTGCACAACTCTTCCAAAAGCCCCCTCTCCTCCCGCCCGCCGTTGCGCGCAGACCAGAGAGCCGGCAGGTGTTTGGAAGAGAAACATGGCAGAAGCAGCGAGACCCAAAAAAGTAAAAACTTCTAAAGTTTGGGAGCATTTTCAGTTAAATCAGGCGACGACATTCGTTACCTGCAACGTTTGTAGGTCAGACTTAGCATGGCACGGGAGTGCTGCAGTGATGATGCAGCATCTGAAACGCAAGCATGTCAGAATCATCAGCAAGGACGGAGAGAGCTCGGTGTCCGGGTAAGTTAAAAACTTTTCAAAAGTGATTCACCCAAGCCCTGGATTATTATACAGGCTAGACATGCCCTAAGCTCATAAAAAAAGTCTATAAAATCGTAAGCGCTATGCTATTAGATAGGCGGGGGAGGGGGGGCGCTCGCGCTGCTGCGAACCGGTTCCGCCATCACATTCCCGCAGAAAATGGTTGATCACACCAGGGCCAGACTACTAGCATGTGGCTTTACAACCACAATGTCCTCAGAAGTGAAAACGCTTTTAAAAGGGAGGGAGGAGTCCTACTGCTGCAGGCGTGTTGTGTGAGAGTGCAGTTATATACCGGTTAATATATTTTTGGGTTCAATTGCTTTCATGTGGCCTAATGTGAGTCTATTTGGGATCATTGGAATGATCAGCAGCATTTCTTGATGTGACTTTATGGCAGTTGCCCAGGGCATCATCACAAGGAGGATGGCATTCATTTACTTTTGTTTTATTTGGTATTTTTTCAGTCATTTTTGGAAATAGTGATTAATTTTGATTAATTCACAGCCTATGTTTAATTACATTTAAAAATTAGTTGTTTGACATCCCCAGTTATAATAAATGTCAACAGATGAGATCAAACAAAACAGATGAGAATTGCCCTTAAGCTGTTTAACTTGGACCAAGCATTTTAGGTCACAGATAGATGTAGCTTAGGGTCTCTGTCTATACACCTTATAAGACAACTTAGGTGATGGCATGTTGTTTTTCTGCTATTGAACTGTTTTCTAATAATGTTGTGTTTAATAAAGTGAAGGAAGGAGAGAAATAACGTTTCCCTAGCAGTTTTTAAAAATGTCCCCATGTAATCCGATTAATCGTGTCGAGACCCCATCCGATTCATCGATTATCCAAATAATCGTTTGTTGCTGCCCTAACCACCACAGCTGATTACTTTCGGTATGGAGCTCTGCGTTGACCTTCTTTGGAAGATGAAGCTCCTCTCCTTCTCTCTAAAGCAGTTCCTGGCCAAACTTCACAAGAATCTCATTAGAACTGCTTGCTTCAGGGATCTTGTTCTTTCAGACACAATCCCAGTTTCACGACCGTTAGTGAGGGTTGGAACATAGATGGACCGGTAAATTACTGTTGGTTCTGCTCCTTCTCCACCACAACAGAGCAAAGCAATATCTACAAATAAAGCCCCAGCCCACCAGTCAGGAACAAAACACCAAGATAACTAGACTTTGCTGGAGATTAATGTTGCACCCTTGCTATTTATTTGGTAATAGATTCTTGTCCGTTTCAGGGTCCACTCTACAATTCAGGCTTTTAATCTTAACCCTCCCACTGTCTTCATGGGTGACCCAACGAGGAAAGTTGACCATTAAGCAGGATTGATGGTTTATCCCTTGGGTCCATGTGGCAGGGGTGAGGAGTGAGCACCACCTCACCCCTGCCACGTGGACCTCAGGGGATAAACCCATCAATCCTGCTCAGTGGTCAACTTTCCTGGCAGTGCCACCCATGAAGACAGTAGGAGGGTGATAGAATTATTATTCATGTTTTCATTTACTATGTTTTATGCTTAATGATTTTACCATTTTAATGCTTAAACAGTTGCTGTATTGTAAAGTTCCCTCATGAGACTTTAAGAGAGTTAAAATCTGACATAATGTGACCTTAGGATGACCTGTGGAGATCTGCTGATCTGTCAATTGCTGACTCGTGCAACTGTTTGCTACTCATCGTGTGATTAGACACTGAAAGTTCTTTGTGTAATAATGAATACTCTTTGTTTGAAACTTGTAACAATTAAAGACGGAGAGCTGTGTTTTCCCCCCTCCCTTTAGATCAGCTCTTCAGGCATGTAACCAGGGAGCCCCCAGCTTGTAATAAATGGAGGTGCTCGGATCTCAAAGGCCAGAATGATTTGGAGGAGCTGTCAGCTCAGTGGAGACTGGGTTGGTGTGGCCTTACTCCATTCTCCTCGAGCTTAAAACAGAATTCTGACTTTTGTGTCTCTTTCCTTGTTATATGGTTTTAGGTGCATAAACCTGACAGAGGGTTCAAGCACCAACACATATCTAAGAACCTTTACACCCATTCATTCCCAGCCTGAGGTCATGTGATCGTGACCTTCTGACATCGCACAGGGCTGAAAACTAAAGGAGACACAACTTTTGCGATCGTACCCTGCCAGACCCTGTGAGACAGAGCTTTTAAAGTGGATTAAAACCTTGTGAAGCGCTTTGTGGTACTCCTCTCATCTGATCTGGAGATACCACAGGAGCAACTGAAAAGGCCCAGCCGGGACTCTACTTCTGGGGAGAGCTCCTGACAGAGAACATAAACTGCACCGGAGCAGAAAAGAGGCAGCTCTGGAAGATGATTAGCACAGCACAGACTACCCCAGATGGCATCTCTCTCACTACCTCACCGGAGTGAGACAAATATTGCATGACTTAATGTGGCGTGTCGCTGTGGTTTAGCAAGGCATTGCATGATCCACTGGATGGATCCAAACACACCTACAGTAAAATAACAGTCATAAGGCAATCACAGCCACACAAGCCAGGCTCTGCTGCTTTAACAGGCACCAGTCCCCTCCCCTTTTTTCTGCCCACCCCCACAAGAGCCTGGTGATGTGCAGGCTCTGCAGAGCAGGACTTTCAAACGATATCATTACCATTTCAAAGAGCCCGCTGCTGCCTCATGTAGACCTACGAGCTGAGGCATGTTACACAAAGCAGGGCGTGTTGGCACAAACCGCCTCATCATCATCGCGTCTCTTCACGCCTAACTGAAGAGTTAACCCAGCACTTTTCAAAGGGGTTGAGCTGTTGTTTCAATTTCCCGACAGGCACTGATGCTGCGCCGCGTCCACCGTTGCTGCGGTGAGGCATCACTGCTGCTCATCAACGAACGCCTAGTTACTGTGGCTGTCAAGTACATGGCGGATACAGAGCAGGGGGGGACCGAGTCATACGCAGGCCACTGAGGATACATCCACTGAACAGTACTCAGAACAATTCAGTGGACAAGATTATTACAATATTTATCCGATGCACTCAGAGGCATCCAGTAAAAAGAAAAGAGGGTGTTTCGGTCTCCTAAATGACACATTTGAATACCGCTGAACACAAACACACAGCTTAGCTCACAGCAGCTCCCTCCTGCAACATTAATGTCCTGATTTATCCTCTGATGTACAAATGTCAACCTTTGTCAGCCTCCATCCCTGCATCTCCTCCTTCACCCCTGCGCCAGCTCACATCACCTCTCCCTTTCCTTATTTGCCTCCATGCTTGACACCTTTTTCATTACTGCTCTCCAACCAAAAGCATTGCTCCATTTTTCCATCAGTATTCCTCTCACTAGCCTCCTCCCCTCTTCTCTCCTCACCCTCCACAGATATTGCACATTTCTCCAACCTCTTCCCCTTCTCCTTGTTTTGCTTCATTGTCTTTTTTCCTCTCTGCTTGGGGATCCTCTAGTGACATCACTACTCCTGCCGTTACCATGGTTTCAGGGGGAAGGGACAGTAATAACTGTTTTCATCAAACAAGACGGGCTTTGGTGATGTTATTTCTCAATCTCTGTCCTCGCAAACACGGAAAAATAAGCACAAAAACTTAGGAATGATTCTTTATTGAAGCATCCAGGAACAGATTTAACTCTAAAAATGACTGATTTCAGGTCAGCGTAATTGACGGGTCAGTGTGAACGAACAAGTCATCATCGTACAAGTCGTCCTCCAGGTCGCCCTCCTCTTCGGTGAAGTAAGTGGGGAAAGGAGGATTGAGCAGTGAGGAGCTCCTGGTTGGCAGTTTGGTGTCTCTTACCTGCAAACACACACACACACACACCCTTTTAAAAACAAAAACACTGAAAGAACTTGGGAGGCACTGCACACATAGCCGGTATCCCACAAAACAAAGAGTTGGCCTGCAATACGAAAGTGAGATGAATGGCATCAAAAATGATTCTCTCAAAAACGGAGACCAGAGTTGAGATGTGCAAATTGTCCATTGTCAGCTTTGCTTGTGGAGGTAAATAATCGGGTTTTAGGTTTTATTACATCACTACCCATGACAAATGCTCTGACATAACATGTGTGACCTGGGTTTACACTTAGACCATAGGTGAAGGACGACGTTAAAGTAACACGGAGTAGTTTTTAACACTTTAAGATGTTAGTTTAAAAGTGGGTTTCAGTGATTCTGCAGGTAGAAACTTCACCTTGGACAGCACTCTTCAGCCCTCTGCTGACCAGAAATCACGCTGAGTTTTATGGGATGGGTAGGTGACCTAGGGGGAGCTCTAATGGCTGTTAGCTGCTTACAGTGCCAGTAGCTAATAGAAAGACTAGCTTTGTCAGTTCGCCGACCTAAAGTGAAAGGCTCAAGAAGAAATGGAAGAATTTTTCTGGCGTCACGGTGGAGCTGGGAGCTAAAAGTAGGAGAGTAAAGCCTTTGGAAACGAGTAAAGAGCTACAGCCTGAGTGGACATTGGAGTGGCCTACACTAGGAAGCTAAAGGCTAAGAAATCACGGACTGATGGTGACCTGGCTTTGTTGCTACTGGATTTGTAAGGAATTATATTTATTTGTCCAACAATGTGGATCTTTTTTTCATGGCTAATTTTAATAACAGTTGGCTTATGTTAGTGTTAGCTCATTGTTAGCACTAGCCACAGCAGGCTGCAGCAGAGATGTTTATGACAGTTGTAATTCCGGTTTCAACCTATAGGATGGAGGAGGAGGAAACGGTTTAGTGTTATTTTAAGGACAGCTATTGCCTGTTGTTCCACATCCAAGGAAGGTTTTTCTGTAAAGACGCCGATGATTTGGGGACTGATGCTACAGGCTTGGCATGCCTATGAATGTGCTTCACCAGGCGCCGGATTTTTCTTCCAGCTGAAAACGAGGTGGTGTGGACCCAAGTTATTTTTCCCTAGATGGGTACGGGAGTAGAGGATATTTGGGTTCTACAAACACCCGGGTAAGTGCACATGGACTCGGAGAGAAAGACAAATCAGCTTTGACATAAAAATATTCTTAAAAAGAAAAAAATGTCTCACAGAGATTAGAAAAGAGAGAAGAAAATCAATCACTGGTGCAATTAGGTCGTTAGGTTTCACATATCAACACCCTCTACTTTTATTGCAAATAAACTCAGGAAAAAGTGAGAATCAGCAACACAACATGATGTTTAGAGTTTCCGGAGTCGCAGGATGATCCGTCAGTCAAATCCCGGACAGGAACAGTAGCATCCGAGCACAGAAATTACACAAATCTCTGTGCACAACTATTAAAAGAGTCTTTGTTGAGCAGATGAACTCGCATGTGAAATGTTGTTAAAACACAAACACCTTCAGCTTCCAAACAGGGAAGCAGACAAGGAGAAACATCACATTGATTTAAAAAAGCCCTTCTAAGCTGACCGGAGGCCGCCGGTCAATTTGTGAACCTGACTGTGAGACGAGTGAACAGGGACCGTCTGCAAATAGCAGCACCTGAAGCAGCAGCCTCAACCCTCAGTAAGGTAGAGACTCTGACTAACATGTTCCTTTATCTGATTGTTTAGATATTTTTATTCTGTTTTTACATCTTTATTTATCTCTCTGTCTCAATTTAACTTCACGCTTTAGAGAGTTACAGTAAAAAATATATATTTATTTATAAAGCCCTTTAAAAGTAGTTTTGGCATGACTATCCTGATATGATTCTAACTTTTTAAATTTTAATTAAATTATTCAATTTTTTTATGTTACTAAAACACCATCATTCTGGCATAAAAGGAAGTGGGGGGTATGAATGATTTTGATGAATTAAAGGCCTATAATATCATTATTCTATTTAAAATGTGTCTTTTACACAAGTTATGATCAATCCGACCAGACTTGACTGTGAAAAAAATCTCAGAAAGAAGAATAAAAGTAGGAGAGATGGATCAAAACACACAAAATAAATAAAATTAAGCCTGTCCAAAAAATATTCATTTAATTATTAAAAAAAAAAAATATATATATATATATATATATATATATATATATATATATATATATATATATATATATATATATATATATATATCCCCAATAAATAAAAATGTATTAGTTATTTAAAATAAAATAAATTCTGTCTAATAAATAAATCATCTCAGAAAGAATAAACTAGGAGAGATTGGTCAAAATTCACACCAAATAAATAAAATCTGTCCAATAAATAAATTATTTAAAATAAAATTAAAAATATTCTGCCCAATAAATAAATACATTATTTACTTATTTTTTAAAAATCTGTCCAATAAGCAAACAAAATAATAAATAATAAATAAAAGAATAATAAAACTGGGAAAGATGGATCAAAATTCACACCACATACACCAATATCTGTCCAATAAATACATTAATAAATGTTTTAATTATTACAAATAAAATCAATACAACTGTCCAATAAACAACATAATAAATTATTAACATTTCTCTGTAGCTGCTCATCTGGCCGCCTTGCTCAATCTCCTCAAACAGAGATAAGGTTGTTTGGGACGGAGACAGAAATGAATGAGCACCGGTGCCTGAAGCCCTTCTCTACAGGTGGAGTGATGGTTCCCCGTCACGTAACCGACCCCCCGAATGAGACCTCAGTTAATGAAGAGGTAAAGGAATCGGCACTGATCCTGAGAGAAATCAGTCATCAGCTGTGATTTATTGTGTTTCAGCCGTAGCTCAAGTATCCTGTTTCACCTCAAACTCTGGTAATACAGATGCAAATAAACAAGTAGATGAATGGGAATATTTGCTCTGTTTAACGTGATTAATAACTAAAACTAAACAGGCGCTTTCTGGGTTCCTGCCTTAATTATAGTAACCGATTAAAACCCCTCAGAGACTCTTAACCCACCTTAGGGACGACTGGCCAAGCGATTAATTAGTTAGAGGTTAAAAATAGATCAAAGATCTGTTATTAGTTGCTCTCGGTTATGAAGGGACGCTTCACAGAAAAAACCTTTTTTACTTATTTTTTTAAATGATGAGTTTCTGAACATGAAAACTGTTTCTCTAGGATACGAAAATCCTGACAGATCTACGTCACACTTAACATTCACGGAACATCTCAGCTAATAGAAGCTAACTGTTAGCATTAGCAACTCCACCACACAGCAGAGTTCCTCCAGGCTTATTTCATTTGTGCTGATTAAACATCAACATTACAAAAGAAACCGAGTCAGTGGTAGAGCCATGTTGCTGCTAGCCAATCAGAGGAGAGATGTCCAAATATCAGGAAAAAAAAAAGAGTCCAAATCCTTTTGTCAGACGCTACTTTCTCCTCTGGCTGAATTCTCTGTCCTCAAACAGGCACAGCGGAGCCTCTCCCATGAGGACAACTTAAAAGGCGTTCATTTCTACTGGAGGAATGCAATCAATAAACCCTCGTGCAGTCGGTGGTTTACGTACAAACACGTCCCAACGATAAAAACTAACCAGGGACATCAATCATTAACCTGCAGCTTCTAGAGCGAAAACAGGTGTGTGTGTGCACGTGTGTGTGTGTGTGTGAACAAGATAGTATGAGAGAGAGTGTGAAAATTAAAGAGAGAGTGAGCATTTAGATTCATTATTGCTAGTATCCAGAACAAATATAAGTGTGTGTGTGTGTGTGCGTGCGTGTGTGTGTGATACAGTATGCAACACACTCATGAGATGAGAGCAACATGCTGAGTATGGAGATGGATGATCTGCAACATTACTAACATCATTAAGGTGTGTTCTCTCATTCCCTCACACACACACACACACACACACACACACACACACACACACACACACACACACACACACACACACACACACACACACACACACACACACACACACACACACACACACACACACACACACACACACACACACACACACACACACACACACTGCTGATGTAGCACAGTGTCAGTGAAGATAAATCACACGGTCCTCCAGGTGTGACAATGCTTCACAGGTGCAAGGTCGCCTGCTGGAACCGACTGATGACTTCAAACTCCATTCTGTGATTATTTTTACCTTCAAGACGCAGTTCCTGTGACCGGGGACAGAGCCGTGCACGTACAGCACGTTGTATTTGGTGTTCACCCTCCATATCTGGGAGACAGAGATGCAGGAAGGAGGATGAATCAGACTAAATGGAGCTGAAACAGACGCCATGTTGTTTCTGACGCTACCTTCAGCCCGTGTGCCGTCACGTAGGTGTTGCCCATTCTGCCGGGCATCTTCTTCCCTTTGAAGACTTTGGCTGGATCCTAAGTAGAGATGAATACCACACATCGGTAAAGGTGATAGGAAGCCAACTGTCCACGTTTGGTGCTCGTCTCACCCCTCCTGGTCCAGAAGCTCCCGGTCTCCGGTGAGTTTTGGTTTGACCGTGACTGGCTGGCTGACCTTTGAATCCCCATCGCTTCATGACACCTTGGAAACCCTTACCGATGCTGGGGGGGAACACAACAAATGCACATTTATGGACTTGTTCAACAGTGTAAGTTAAGGTAAGAAGCAGGAAGTAGAGCCAAAACAAGGAGTACACCTGGCTGAGAACCGCTTACGTTTTGGCCGTGACGTCTACAAACTGGCCAGGACGGAAATGTGCTGCATACAGAGGAGTGCCTGAACGTGTGAAACACAGAACGTAGCACATTAAACTCTGATGTGAGACGTACAAATCTCTGTAGGTTCAGATGTCCAACCTGGTTTGAGGAGGGCGTTGTCGGAGACTTTAAAGTAGGACAGTTTCTGTTTGGCGGGCACTCCTGCATTCCTGAACTCCTCCATCATCTTCTCAGACTTCTGTCAGTCAGCGTGAAGGGAAGAAAGCGGGTTGATGGATGCAATAACAGCAGCAACAGTTGGACTTTTTAAGTATACCACCAGCCTGTGGTATGGGAGCCAAACACACACTCACAGTCTTGGCAGTGAGTGTCTGACATTTGCTTTCACTCCACTGACTCTCATCTCAGCACCTTGAGTCACTCCAAACTCTCCCTCTTCCCTTCTGTTGACTAAAACCAGCCTGCCAAAGCGTCTCCCTCCAACCAGCTCGCTTGTGACTGAAGAGTGATGCGGCCGAGCGAGAGGAGTTCAAAACACGTCGACGAGTGGAATCTCGACACCGACACGCCGGGCTCAGTGAATAAATTACATCTGACTACCTCGTACTTTCCTTGCTGTTTTCATGGCTTTTTAAATAGAAAACTTAACCAGGTCCTTGAGTTTTAAATGCATTCTCAACACAAATATATTCTCCTACCCATACTTCCTTCAAAAGCCACGGATAGAAAATAGACGGGGAAACGCTCGGGTCAGAAAAAGCCCCACAAAGCTACGTCACACTGTAAAATCAGCTTTCATGGACAGGAGACCTCAGAGAGCATCTCGGCTAGCGAAAGCTAATCATTAGCATTAGCAACTCCACAACATGGCAGTCACATCAGTCATTAGCTTCTACTATAAGACGCTGTGGTGGCTAATTACCCTGATTTGCTGCCATGACGTGTCGTATGAACGCGCTGTGGTGGCATGGCAAAATGGTGCGGCATTCCTGTCGCCACGCTCGATAGCAATATTACCGCAATCTTATGTGTGTTCTTGCTGTGTCGTGGTTCTAATTCCATGCTTTCGTTCTTTTTAAACACAGAAACAGTTTTGTTTACCTGTTTTGTAGCTACAGTTTCGCCGACGGCTGTCGGCTTCTTCAGGCTGACGCTGATGGTGGCGTCACTTCCCTCTCCCTCTGCTGCCCGCTCTCCCCTCTCCGACGATGCAGTCCCATGCGTGGTCCAGCGTGTAAACTCCATCGTCCCTGTTCATGGTCCCACATCCACGTCTCCTTATCTCGATTGCTTCCTTGATCCATCTTTTGTATTTCTGTTGTTCGGTGTTTATGATCCTTGTGTTGTCCCAGTCCATTATATGGTTTTCTCTTAAGCAATGATCTGTTACGGTTGACTTCTTTATTGTGCTTTCTGCTTCTTCTTTTGCTGCTCTTGTGTGTTTTCGACTTGCCTCTTTCTCGCACTCCTTTCTGTGTTCTATTGTTCGTGTGTTGAGTTGGCGTCCGGTTTCTCCTATGTATGTTTTATTGCATATTTTGCATGGGATTTCGTAGATGACTCCACATTTAAGTCCAGCTGATATTTTGTCTTTTGGGTGTACTAATCTGTTTCTAACTGTTGTGTATGATTTTGTTGGTGTGTTTATGTTGTGTTTTTTCATTGTTGCTCTTATTTTTTCCGTTATGCCTCTGATGTATGGTAGGGTTATCACTGGTTTTGGTTCTTGTCTTTCTGGGTTTCTGGTTGTTTGCTTAGGTTGTTCTTTGCTTTCTGTTGTTGTTTGTTGTTTTCCTTTGTTTATCGCCCATGTCGGGTATGCGCAGGTCTTTAAAGCGTGTTGTATGTGTTTGTCTTCTTGTTTACGGTCTCTCTCTTCTGTTATTATGTTTGCTCGGTGATATAATGTTCTGATTACTCACATGTTGTGTATGGTATGAGAAAACCATATAATGGACTGGGACAGCACACGGATCATAACCACCAAACAACAAAAATACAAAAGATGGATCAAGGAAGCAATCGAGATAAGGAGACGTGGATGTGGGACCATGAACAGGGACGACGGAGTTTACTCGTTGGACCACGCATGGGACTGCATCGTCGGAGAGGGGAGAGCGGGCAGTAGAGGGCGACAACGTCCTCTGCTGCCCGCAGATAAACGGAGAAGGAAGTGACGCGCCACCATCAGCGTCAGCCTGGAGAAGCCGGCAGCCGTCGGTGAAACGTAGCAACAAAACAGGTAAACAAAACTGTTTCTGTGTTTAAAAAGAACGAAAGCATGGAATATTACCGCAATGACGGACTTCTGAATGAAGATCACGGTTCACGCAACAGCAATACTGAAATATTGAAAATGAAAGTAAATGTGGGCAGTTGGTTTCGCTGAGATGGAAAACTGGAGCGATGCAGAGCTGCTGGAGCGTCTCTCCGCCGGAGCTGAAGCTCGAGTCTCCAGCCAAGTCACCGGGACGGTGGAGGACAGAACCCTTTGGAATGTGGCTTCAAATCAGCACAAAGACAACATGTTACTCAGCAGCACGTCAGCAGTGCGGAGACCACCCACACATGCCTTTATACAGCCATCGCGTAATCGTTTGTGAGGATCACACGATCGCGCCACATTACTGCCCCTCTCTGACCGTTTGTGAACGACAAAAGGCTCCCTGAATGCTAATGAGCAAAACTATAAATGCTGCCATTTTCTTTCTCCTCTCCTCCAACTAACGTGAACCTTCTGAAACAGGAGCGCCAGAGCTTTTATTCATAGAAAACGACTCACAAGGCATTCATTCATTCATTCATTCATTCATTCATTCACACTAAAGCCCACAGATGAGGAAACAAGCTCCTTACAGCCTTTATGTCACTAGGCTGTGACAAAGTGAGAGGAGCACTGGTACGGGGTTTTTAAAGAGTCCGAGAACATTCTAGTCCAGGAGTAATCCCATGAGCACCTAACCGGCATGTTTTAGTTGTCTCCCTGCTCCAACACACCTGGCTGTGACTTGTGAGTGATTAACAGGCTTCTGCAGTGCTTGATGACCTGCTGAACAGGTGATTCAACCTGCTGACGAGGTCATGTTCTTTCACTCAAGAGTTGTTGAAGGCACCATCTGAAGTTAGCTCCAGGATCCTCGTGTTAAATCCACCGCACGCTTCAGTTTCTACACTTCATGAGTAAACGAGATCATCTGGAGGAGAGGACTGCATCTAAAGTGGTTCTACGTACGGGCGTATTTAATGTGTTTATAGCGAAAGTTCATAAAAAACAACTGAGGCAGAAACGGATTCGATACAAAATCTCAGTAAAAGTAGAAAGAGCAGCTTTTTCGTTTCCTTTTAAAGCATCTAGATGTTCCTGAAGATGTTTACTTTTCATCGGAGCAGATTTCACAAACTTAGAGAGCAAGCAACAAGAAAAAGAAGTCACCCTAAATAAATTAGCACTCATTGATTACTCATCTCTGGATAACTGGGCATTTACAGACAATCCAAACATCAAAGGTTCATAATTTCTACAGCTACAAAGACTTAACTATTCATAAATAATTATTTCTGAATACCTACATGGAACGGTGACACGTTCTTCCCTCCTATCACAAGTGCAGCCGTGCGTCCATCAAACTCTTCTTTAGACAGACACTTTATTACGTGGCAGTCTTGCACCTGGAAGGAATAACAACATCAGACGGTGCGGCGCAGCAGCAACTGCAAAGACTTAGCCCGGCGGCCTCTTTTCCCTGTGCTGCGTGGTCCTCCTGAGCTCAGACATAAACAGATGCATAATTAGAGAGAAGTCCCTGTTGTAAAGTATTAATGTTCACCCACAGACATAACGAGTAATCATCTTTTTTTAACACAAAAGAACCTGTTTTAAAATAAACCTGCAGTTTAAAAAAAAAACTGTGGGCGTATTTCCAGCTCAAGAGACCAAAATTACATTTTCTGTTTCTCATTTAGCAGATCACTACCATTTCAGCCCAAAAGGAGAAGACTAAACGAGGCCAGAGGGGATAGAATGAAGGAACAAGCTTCATCTCAAACTCTGCTTTAATCTGGATGCAAACACTAATGAACAAATGAAAAAGTCTTCTTTAACGACTTCTTTTCTTTATTTAAGACCAAAGGAATAAACATTGCTTGGCCTGTTTTTGGCTGAAAAGCCTAAATTACACTCTTACCTGCAACAGTGTGACTGCGTGCTTTTCTCCCGTTTTAGTCCAGATTGGAGCCATGCCCAACTTGACGGCAATTAACCCAACTCGTCGACTTCCTGGGTGGAGGACGAGACTGTGAGTAAAACAGGAAGTGCCCTCCTGAAGGACGCCGCTCCATCCTGATCACATAAACCTACCCTGTGTCCACTCGTGTCTCGGCCAGGGCTCGTCTTTGAGAGGGCTGAACCTTTCAGCTGTCTGTTGTCGGTATTCCTCTGCCATGATGTTCCTCATGAACTTCTGGTTGTCTTCTGTGAGGTGTTCTTCGAACCAGGTGGTGGTCTTTACTGTCCTGATGCAGCCCGCCAGATGGGCAGGACTGAGAAGTTAATAACATTTAAAGCATGAGATATGGCTGCTTCTAATGTCAAAAATAATAAAATAAATCAAATGATCATAGTGACTCAAACAGAATCTTTACACAAAGATGAAATCTAAGCTATGCGTTTACATTTAATAATGAACGTTACTCCAAAGGGGTTCGAATGAAGGCGACTGGACTTATTTGGTTTCTCGAACACGCTTCACTCGTTGGATGACAAGTGAAACGTCTTCAAAAAACCAAAGAAATCCAGTCGCCTTCATTCGAACCCTTTTGGATTACCATGACTTGGATGACTGAGAACCTTCACCAGCAATGAACGTTACTGTTTAACAAAGGCTTTAATCTAGACGGTAGTGAAAGATATCACTTTATTATAACAGAAATCAAATTGTAAAGATGGTTTAGCAGGGGGTGAAAATGTTTCTGCTGCTGTTTATTCATCAAAAACCCAAAGATGGAGAAATATTTCAGTCCAACGTCAAAGCCTTACAGAGTCATCGATTGGAGTATTTGAATCCAACAGCCTTGTTCTCTTATGACCTGTGTGTGTTTACTACTGACAACATCACTGCTGGACGGTAGGGCTGAACGATTAATCGCACATGCAATTATATTGCGATGTGATAAAATGTTGTTCTGTTCTGACTCAGGAGCTTAATCACAATTACTTTCCAGAATCGTTCAGCCCTACTGGACAGTGTCTCCAGACATAAAAATATTGATATATTTTTAAACAAGACACCAAATGATCCTGTAAAATGTATCCTGCAAACAAGCAGAGTTTCTAGCTTCTGCTAGCTTGCTGATCACCCATCACATCTACTCTTATGCATCTGGTCTTTCGTGTGCTGACATAACTTACAGAAACACTTTAGATTGATAAAAAATCTCTGGGTTAATGTTCTGCCCTGAAACTTACACTCAGCTTAGTGGTTTTTAATGTTTTGAGGGGATGTCTGTGTTTAAAAGAGTCTTTTCACAACAACAGACAAGTTTTGTTTGTGGAAAGATGGGCTGAACCCCCTCTGCACAACCAGGTAACAGATACGGGGGCCTCCAGCAGCCAAAATACTTCAGAAGCTACCACATATGTAGGGATGAACCGATAAGGTTTTTTGCTGCCGATCACCGATACCGATATCAAAGAATGCTGATCACCGATACCGATCACCGATACCGATCACGTGGATTGGCCAGAAATTTTCCATAACATTATAATGAGTGCTACAAACTACATAATCTGGGAATAAAGGAAATGTAACCTAATCTAAAATGGTCTGTCGGTCTGCTTTGATCTATTTTGAAAACTGCGATCAAAACCGATAGGGGCGCTATCGGCCGATTGGGATCAAATGCCGATCCATCGGTGCATCCCTACCACAAATCTGACCTTACTCTATGATATGAGTGTACACGGCTTAGCGCATGATCCGATGGATGAATTTATTTATGTCATAGGCGATGGTGGCAGAGGAGTTGGTGCCCGCCCCGTAACCGGAGGGTTGCAGGTTCAAGCCCCGTCTGTGGTAGTCGTGTCGTTGGCCAAGACACTTAATCAGGTGGTTTTTGGAGGGACCAGTGGTGCCTGTGTAGCTTATTACTACCAGTGTGTCAAAATGTGTGTGCATGAGGCAATTTTGTAAAGCACCTTGGGGGTTGTAGAACCCTAACAGGCACTATATCAAATACAGGCCATTTACCGCTCGTAAAGTTAGCTTAACGTGATTTACTTTTGTTTTCTCAGGCAGGAAAAATGTGCTTTATTATCATGAATGATGTGATCCTCCCCTAAATGGAATTTAAATGAATGAAGTGGTTCTTACACATTTGGACCATCTGCTTGTCGGTCTCACCGAACCACCGCACTTCTGCATTTACCTGGCTCCTTCACTCATTACGCACTCACGCATTTTACAACAGAACACCACTGGTGTGAGGTTCTCCGCTCAATAATATCATGGGAGAAACAGCTGGCTGCTACCACTTCAACTTTAGGACAAACAACCAGAGTCCCAAGATGAAAAATAGAGTTTGAAGTCACAGACAACAAAAGGTTTTTTTGGATGTAGAAAATGACAAATGACGTTTAACTCTATCAGGTGGGCGTGGCCTTAGGGTGAGAGCTGACAGGAGGGGTGAGGGTTCCGTGACCGTGTTTATGTTTAAAAGCTTGCTTGTTTTGCAAACTTGCCATTGCAGCTTTAAGAATATGAGTTGCCTTCGTTTTCTGAAGCTTTCAGAGCTAAAGTTAAGCCCTTCTCTTACATAACAAATCCAGCACATTACTAAGCTGCTCAAAAAGCGTTAGCCGTTACCTGTCGAGTATTTTATCTAATGGATTTTTATTTAGAGCTTTGGTTTTTGCTCTTTGTCTCTACTTGACTTCACTTCACACGGACGTGCTTCATTGTTTAATCAGAACTGTTTATTCTAAGTGATCGTTCAAGTCCAGCAGGTCCAAATATCTCCTATGATCTCCCACACACACTTCAGTCAGGTGTGAATCACAGAAGCTGTGGGTGAGTGGCACAGAACTGCAATATCAAACTTATCTGTCAGACCTTTAGGTCGGGTATACACCTGCTCTTGAGTTTATCTTTGCATCATGACTCCTCGCTGGCGCTTCCACAGGTGAAATGTAGATCCAAAGGAGGTAGAGCCTTTTCATGTTTTACCCATAAGCTGTGGAATGAGCTGTGGATATCCCATGACGAGCACACACACTGCAGGTTTGTAAGTGTTACCTGAAAACTGGTTTTTATACTGTTGCCTTTGCTGGTAACTGGCTATTTTTAGGTTTTGGAATAACTGGACTTCATTTATACTTACACGTTTTCAAGCTTCTTTCCGGAGTATACGATGGCACCATCTAGTGGCTGACAAGAATATCACACAAAAAGTCTATTCCTCTGTTTGTTTAAGATGGCGACTTCACGTTTCTGTTTATAAATGTGCTTCTTAGACGACAAACGGAGCTAAACAAGCTGTTTAACGAGTGTTATTCTCATGTCATGGTGTGTTTTCATATATTTATATTTTAGAGACTTACTTGTCCATGAAAAGTTCATCAACTCTGCATCAGCCGAAGTATTCCTTAAATTTGAAGCAAGTCTACCGCTATTGGTTAGTTCTGGTCGGCGCTCAGTTTCCTATTGAATGGAGCTCTGCGGGGCAGGGGGCGTGATTGGCAATTTTTTTTTAAAAGACATATTGCTTAGGGATGCACCGATACGATGCCAATACCAGTATCGGTATCGGTAAAAGTTAACCGATACCAGGAACCGATCCCAATGCAGTTGCTTGAAAATGGCTTCACTAACTTGTCATTTCAGTTCACCTAATATTTTAGTTTTGTGATGATTTCCATTCATATATTTTACTTTTTATCTACCTCACAGTCTTTTCCTGTGCAGAGAAGAAAATAAAATCTGTATTCCAAATCATTGCCTTTTTTTGTATGGTAGAAGTATCGGTATCGGCGAGTACTCAGATACAAGTATCGGTATCGTATCGGTTTGGGAAAAAGTGGTATCGTTGCATCCCTAGTATTGCTTACATTTTATCACAGTACATAATGAGACAATCGCTTTTACAGATTTCTGAAAAATCATACCTCATTTCTGAAAGGGGAAAACTCCGGAAAGCAGCTTTAATAGCTGTATTTATTTGGTTTGTAAAGTAATTTGCGTCTACGTCTGTAGCAGGGCTGTAGCAAAGCCTCAATGACGTCAGCAACTCGATTCTAAAAATTTGTCGACGTCAGATCCGGTAGTCGACGCACCACGCCCACTTGTTGCATCCCCAGGAGTTTGTAAATAGAGGAGGAATCTGCCTGTTCTTCCTCTAGTTCGCCCTCTTCTCCACCTTCACTAACATCTCCGCCAAATACCGAAGACCCGGAACAACGCCCGTCCGCTACTAGATTCCTTTCCTGTTTTGCCCACCTTCGTCTCCCGGCAACGGACAACAACTTCTGGGGTCAGATACGCTGCTTCATCTCTAACCTGCTTCATCTCTACCGCAGATGTAGGACATCACCGGGAGCGTTTCTCCCTTCATAAAGGAGCTTCTTTCAGACATGAGGAGAGCTGTTTTGGTGGTAGCATTCTCTCCTCCGTGCTGGTCTGTTTGCTGCTGAGTGTTTTTGGTTTATTTAAACTTGGTAACTTGAACTTAACGTTGGTAAAGCTACTGTTAGCATTTTCGCTAACAGCTAGTGATGGGACGAACGACACTGGCGCGTCAGCACAGTGTCGACTGCACAAGAGTGAAACCCCGTATCGGTGCGTGTATCGCTTTAAGAAAATATCACGTGACCGACACAGGATTGTGTGTCGTTTGGATGCGCCGCGCCAAATTGTGTTTATAAGGAAACAAACTGTATCGACATGTTGCGGATTTGTTGGTTAGAGTTTTGCTGTTTGATTTTGGATTTTTCCTTACTCTCACGCTCACTTTTCTCCGCTGACTTCATGGATCGTTCCTAGAAGTTTTCCCCAGTCTGGAATAATTTTGATCTTTTGACGCCAAAAAAGGTAAATTGTTTTCTCCATTTGGCAACGTTTACTGTTATTTCTGTATTGTAAATGTGTTTGTAGTCTTTCTCTGGTAAGAGGCTTAAATTGTTTTCAGATAAATTAACTATTTATTTTATTGTAGGTGAAGTGTCGGCTCTGCTCCACAGAGCTGTCTTACTCAAATAAGAGCACTTCATCAATGCTGAGGCATTAGAGTTCGGCATGGCAACGATGAATTGGTAGATACCCCAGGTATGTTGAAATTATCACCAAAAAATCTGAATTGTCAAAATTAGTCTATTACACACAAAAGGCTTTGTGTGACTCTGTAGTATTGCTTGTAAAATCCTTTTCATAAGCTTTCTAAAGCTTTTAAAAAAGTATTTCCTTTTGGCTTGCAGTTCCTAACAAGCAAGCAGTGGATGATGCTGTGGTTAAAATGATCATCAAAGACTGCCAGCCACTCACCATTGTTGAAAATGAGGGATTCAGGGAGCTCCTGAAGCTTATTGCACCCTCATATGTTCTACCAAGCAGGAAGGTATGTTTAAGAAATGTTTGCTTTAATTAATCAACTACTTTCATGGTGTGTGTGTGTGTGTGTGTGTGTGTGTGTGTGTGTGTGTGTGTGTGTGTGTGTGTGTGTGTGTGTGTGTGTGTGTGTGTGTGTGTGTGTGTGTAACATTGGTATTACAGTATTGGTATGTTTACTTGTAGGTCATCAAGGACTTGGTGAGCCAGAAATATGAAGAGGAAAAGGAGAAAACAAAAAAGGACCTCCAGAGCGTCATTGCTGTTAGTTTAACAGCTGATATGTGGACATCCATTAATATGGAGGCATATCTTGCCGTTACTTGCCACTATGTGGACAAAGAAAGCCATGAACTCTGTTCATCAGTCTTGGGAGTGCAGCATTTCCCTCAGAAACACACTGCAGAAAACATGGCCACAGTTAAAAGGAGCCTCATGAAGGAGTGGGGCATAGCAGGCAAAGTCAGGTGTCTTGTCACTGATGCAGCAGCAAACATGATTGCATGTGCTCGAATGCTGCAAGTACGGCAAACCATTTGCATTGCCCATTCCATAAATTTAATTGTAAGAAAATCATGTGATCAAATCTCAACACTAACAGAACTACGCAACAAAGCACGGCAAATTGTGACATACTTTCGATCAAGCACCATGGCCAAGGAAAAGCTCACTCAAATGCAGCAACAGCTGGGAACACCATTGCATAAATTAATAAATGAGGTGCCGACACAATGGAACAGCACCTACCACATGCTGGAGAGATTGACTGAGCAGAAGGAGGCAGTCTGGGTGTCACTGGCCTCATTAAAAACTGATCTCACTCCACTGACTCCAGAAGAATTTGAAATCATTGAAGAGATGCTCAGGGTGCTTGCTCCTTTTTACCAAGCCACAAGAGAACTCTCTGAGGAAAAAAGAGTCTCGGGGTCAAAGGTTATTCCATTGATGAGAATGATCCACATTGAGCTTCAACATCAATCTTCAACGGTGACAAAACCCACTGCTAAACAGCTGGCTGAAAATCTGTCAAAGCGGCTAACCGAGTCCATCTGCAACATGGAATCGCTCAGTGTGATGTCACTGGCAACATTGTTGGACCCCAGGTTTAAAACTGCTGGCTTTTTTAGTCCACTGAAAGCAACTGAAGCTGTCAAGAGACTGAAGTCAGAGTGTGCTGCTGAAATGAGGAGCCATGAGCCTGACCCAGCAGTAGAGGAGCCTAGCACTTCACATGGATCAGAACACAGTTCAGGTATGAAAACACATTTCTTTGTGAATATTTGTTTATTTCTGCGGAAGTTTGTCATGTGATAGTAAACCAATGATTAACAGACTTATTTCCAATTTATTTGTTAGGACACAATCTCTGGAGGCACCTTGATATGGAGGTTGAGGAGAGCAGGATGACCTCTAATACTACAGCCAATTCCATAATTGAAGTCCAACGCTACCTGGCTGAAAGAAATGCACCAAGAACACAAGACCCATTACAATATTGGAAAAATAACCAGAATTTATATCCACACCTTTATCAACTCGCACTTCAATTCTTATGCACACCATCTTCATCTGTACCCTGTGAAAGAGTGTTTTCTAAGGCAGGGGAACTGGTGTCTAAGAGGAGAAATCGCCTTGGAGCAAACTTACTGCACAAACTTTTGTTCCTCAATAAAAATGCATAAATGAATCCATATTTAGTCTTTTATTTTGTATGATCTAACACAGAGGTTAACACATTTACACAAGTTAAAACTTTTACTTCTGATTTTTATTAGACACATTCAGAAGATTTAACATGCCAACTCATTGTAGCATTTACACAAAGGTTACAAGCAAATGTTAAACTCCTTTCATAAAGAACTTAACAAATTGAGTAAATTAAATTGCATAATGATATAATATTTTGATTACAGGAAATTAAATCTTGCACACCTGGTGTGGGTTTGCAGCATGTAACCTTTTCCATCTTATTTACCTGCAATGATTTTAGAAATACTGCAGGTGTCGCTATTGAGTGACCAACACAGTGTCAATACAGTGCCGACACAGTTTGGCTAGTGTGTCAATACACTCCTTGAGGTATCATCATTCCATCACTACTAACAGCTTCTTGCGTTTGGATAAGCTGTTACGTTTTGGTTTAGAGTTCATCTTTTTTGTGGTGCAGATCTCCCTTTTATTACATTTTGAGTGTTGTGGGTTTTCGGTTTAGTGTAAAATAACACCTTGAGTTTGGTTTAACCGCCCAGTTTAAGAGTTTGGACCTTTGGAGATCCTTATTTTGGTCCAGAACCCAGTAATCTTTGCCCAGTGGGACATCACTACTTATTTGTACTTTTGTTTTAATTCCCACAGGCAGAATTAGTTTTATTATTCCCAACCTGTAGATGGAAAGATTTATGTTTTTTGTAGTTGTAAATAAACCTGATCATCATTTTAACTTTTAAATCCCGTTATTGTCCCTTCCTTTTTGCACACGAGCCAAACTCCCCAGGAAGAGTCGTAACACCACTCGCCTCACGCACATAAGTGACCAAAACAAAGCAGCATGGAGACACTCTGTCTCCAACCACCTCTCAGGCAGCAGCCTGCACTCCCAAGTTCTACACGTCACCAGAACATAACCAACCGCAACACAATAAAAGCAGTGTTATACAAAATGGAAGGCCTGTAGTGTTTATTCTCTTACAGTAACAATTTATCAATTTTTTTGAGGAATTTATTAGATTTTTTTTGGGTTTTATTAACTGTGCAATAGAAAAATAATCATTAGATTAACTGTCTAAATAGTCATTACAATAGTCGACTATTCGATAAAATAATCGTCAGAATAATCATTTTAAAAATAATCCTTCACCCCCAGCCCTAGTCTGTAGGTAATTTGTTTATGTATGCTGTGTTCAGCGCCCTGGGTGCCTTTGGGCTGCTGAAAGCTCTCCTATGAATAAAAACAATAATGATATCTAATCTTTACCGCAAAGTTGTAGAACGCCAACGTTTTTATTGGGACAGCTGCAGTTAACCCTTTAATGGACATAATATGATTTTCACTAAATGTGTTTGTGGCATGATCTTTTGTTTTAAACTGGGAGGCCCCAATGTTGGTATGAATTTATTGTCCAGAGGACTTAATAGACAGTCCTTAACAAGGTGAGCTGGAACAGCACTGTTATTACTAATCAAGAGTCCGATGTGTGCTTGGCTTATGGCTTGGAGCTCACAAAATCAAAAAGATCAGCATCTAGAATTTTATGCGAGTTTACAGAAAGCCAGTAAACAATGCACACATATATAAACTGCTTTTAATCGATACCCTTCACCATTACACGCATCGTTCTTTTAATGGTACAGGATATAGTTTTACAGTTTGTGTTATGAGCTGTTTTGCTGTTCAGCACTTTTGGAGTGATTTATTAAATAAAAGTGACACTGATATAGCACTTGTCCTGTTATCCAGCTGGTTTAAGAGCTAATTAGTAGGAAATATGCAAACTATTTTTACTCATCCCATTAACTCGTTACCTTATTTGGCAACCACGGCAAAGTTACGCTAATTTTGATGTAGATTTTTTAAACAGGAGAAATAACCTGTCGTTGCGGCTAACTCACTTCCAGCTAGCACAACAGCTAGTCAGTTAACATCGTTACCTTTCAGCTGCTGTCCGAGAAGAAACGAGTTGAGTTCCGCGACGAAGAAGAAACCTACATCCCCACGTCGCCATCCTGCTTCTTATTTCAATAACTAATATATTAAATGAAAACTATTAATAATACACTTTAAAGAAATGTTGTAGCAAAACGCCAGCTAACACATGACTTTTTCCCAGCGATAAATGTCACCCTTGACATTTCCGGTCCTTCATTGTCACCGTTCCTCTGAAAACGGACAAAAGTGAAAAGGTTCCGTTTTGAAAATAAAAATTTCTTACATTGTGCAGATATTCATCATTTTAAATTTTTAAGTATTTTTGTGTGATATTTTCTTGGCTTTGAAATTGCTGCTGTGACACCAAAATTTCGTCCCTGGGTGATAGTGAAGAATTTTCCAGTTATATATAATAATAATTATTATTATTGTTGTTATTATTTTTTTAAACATTAGATAAAAACTAAAATAAATCTCAGTTCGAAAAATCTACAATAACTTGAATTATGTAAAATCACTGTACTCTGGAATGATTTACTAATATGTTTACAGTATATCTATCTTTTTTCTCATAACTTTGTGCTTTTATTTGTTACTTTAAATCAACCATTTCACAGCCATCCATAGTTTTGTGTTCACATACACTGACCAATAAGATTTTCTTATTTCTGAAAAACTATTAAAAATCATTTTAGTTTAGGGGATAAGAAAACATTTCATTGAAAATTCAGGTTATCTTTGAGGAAAATATGTTCTGTCTGTCCAATATAAAAATTACTTTGAAAGGCATGTCAAGAACTTGGTTATGCATAGTTTAGTCCTTGTATCAATACGAGTAAAAAATCAACTAAACAAAAGAATATAATAATAAATGAGAAATTAGTAACAAAATGGTAAATGTTATTTATTCACATTAATAGTATTATAGTACAACCGTTTTAACTTTACATTGAACACATTGAATTTTATCATGTTATAGCCTTAATTTCTGCAAATGAATAAAAATGCATTAAAGAAATGTTTTATTTTCTTTATTCTTTTTGTGAACGTTCATCTCATACATCTGCTTATATTGCCTGCCCACCTGCCATGTTGTGGTGTAGAAATCTAACCCATGACATACAGAATCAGCATAGAGACGGGGGTAAAGTGTTTAAATAAGAATTTATTAAAAGGGAAACCAAGGAAGCAGCATAAATATAGCTGAGTTCTTTCACAAGGGAGCCGGTGCGGGAAATCTGTGGACAGATGGGAGTTAGATCCAACTCGAGGAGGGAACAAGGAATCTGAATTGTGCGGAGGACTTACAGTATGGAGAGGAGGGAACTAGCTTGAGAGAGGAGTGGTCCGGTCTGGGCTGAGAGGGCTTTCCTGGGACTGAGATCCAAAAGGTGAGACGTAGAGGGAGCTGAGTTTGTGGAGATCCAGGGAGCTTAGGTGGGCAGCTGGAGGTGGTTCTGGCCAGGGAGAAGCTGAGAGACAAGCAGGTAGGAGTTCCAGAGTTCAGCCAGTCGGAGATGAAGGTGGAGGTTTTATCCAAGTAGAGTAATCATCCAGCGAAGTGTAGAAGTCTCTCAGCTGCCTAAATATACCTGGCCGGCTGATGAGCAGATCTGCTGCAGCTTGGTCAACCTCCAGACAAGCCCACCTGCAGAGGGAAAACTCAGAGACAGGAAGTGACAGCAGGAACACACCTCAGACCGTGACACCACCTCAACAGTTGAACCTCAGTGTTTTTTTTTTTCATCACACCTGAAATGACAAATAAAGACAGTTTTACTTAAAAGTTTCCCACACTTCTCGTGCATCTGGCCGAGGTGGTGGAACGGGCATGTTAATTTCCAACAAATGGATATACAGTCAGTTGCTACCCATCACTAAATACAACTCCTTTGAATACCATGCCATCCAGGTAACTGTACCGAAAAAATTATTTTTGGTTGTCATATATCGCCAACCAGGTCAACTCGGAGACTTTCTTGATGAACTCGACACCCTGCTCTCCTCCATTCCTGAGCACGACTGTCCCACAATGGTCCTTGGAGACATGAATATTCACCTGGACAATCCCAGCTCATCAGGCTTGCTGTCACTAATGTCATCATTTGATTTAAAACTAGTACAAAGTCCTCCAACTCACAAAGCTGGAAAAGCACTTGACCTCATTTTCACCAGAAACTACAATCACTGTCACACCGCTGCATCGTTCTGATCATTACTTCATCCATTTCAGCACGACTCTACAAGGGAGGTCCACTGCTTCCTCCCCAATGGTCTCATTCCGCCGCAACCTCCGCAATCTGGCACCCAACCACTTCTCCTCTCTTGTTGCCTCCACTCTTCCATCTCCCAGCACATTCTCTGCTTATGAAGTGAATGATGCGTGCAGCCGCCCTACTACATGCCCACTTGGCCCCATTCTGACTAAGCTGCTCCAAGCTATTGCTCCTACAGTAGCCGCAGCAGTCACACATGTGATCAACACATCACTGACATCCGGTAACTTTCCCATCTCTCTCAATCATGCTCAGGTTAAACCGCTGCTAAAAAAAAAACCTTCCTCTTCCTCAAAATCATGTGGAGAACTACCGACCTATCTCTCTCCTCCCTTTTCTGTCCAAAATCATTGAAAGGGTGGCTTTCAAGCAGATTACAGAATATCTCTCACAAAACTGTCTGCTTGACCCTTACCAATCTGGATTCAAAAAGGGCCACTCCACTGAGACTGCTCTGTTAGCAGTGACGGAATCCTTAAAAGAAGCTAGAGCGACTGCTAAATCCTCAGTGCTTATCCTGCTCGACTTATCGGCTGCATTTGACACTGTCAACCATGGCTTCCTTTTGTCCACACTCTCTAGCATGGGCATCACAGAGAAAGCACACGCCTGGTTTGAATCGTACCTCACAGGACGATCATTCAGTGTATCTTGGCTTGGACAATCCTCTACCGTGCACCATCTTGCCAGAGGAGTCCCCCAGGGCTCTGTACTAGGACCTCTTCTCTTTACCCTATACACCACCTCACTGGGTGAGATCATTCGATCACATGGATTCTCCTACCACTGCTATGCAGACGACACCCAGCTCTACCTGTCATTTCCACCGGATGACCACACTGTCTCTGTACGAATATCAAACTGTCTCTCTGACATATCAAAATGGATGAAATCCCACCATCTCCAACTCAACCTCTCTAAAACTGATCTACTTGTCATCCCAGCAAAACCATCCATACAGCACAATATCTCAATCCAAAATAACTTCCTATCTCTTGTTCCTTCAAAGGCAGTTCGAAATCTGGGTGTTGTGATTGATGAACACCTGACCTTTAAAGATCATGTTGCCTCTGTTGCTCCTTCATGCCGCTTTGCGCTGTACAACATACGAAAGATCAGACCATACCCAACACAACATGCCACCCAGCTCCTGGTGCAATCTACTGCCATCTCCCGCCTCGACTACTGCAACGCCCTTCTAACTGGTCTTCCAGGCTGTACTGTGAGAACTCTTCAAATGGTCCAGAACGCAGCGGTGCGTCTGGTCTTCAATCGGCCATAAAGAGCACACGTCACCCCTCTGTTCATTGAGCTCCACAGGCTACCGCTAGCAGCACGCATCAAATTCAAATTGCTAACACTAGCATACAAAGTCCGAGATGGTACGGCTCCCATCTACCTGAATCCTCTTGCAAGGGCTTACGTCTCGGCTCGGCCGCTCCGGTCATCACAGGATCGTCGGCTAGCAGTGCCTACACCACGCTCAGGACAATCCAGGCTTTTCTCATGCATCGTTCCACAAATGTGGAATGACCTTCCAAGCACTACCAGAACAGGGGCTTCCTTTTCAATTTTCAAGAAACTCCTGAAGACCCTGCCCTTCAGAGAGCATATCTAAACTAGCACCTTCCCTGCACCCGTCTCCTCTCTCTACTGTCCACTCCTTGTTCCCTCCTCTCCATGATTGATGTCAAGTTGTTGTTATTGTTGTTGTTGGCCTCAAGGGAAACATGTCGATTATCACTTGTAAGTCGCTTTGGACAAAAGCGTCTGCTAAATACATAAACATAACTTAAAAGAGAGACTGAATCCTAATGCATGTGGTGAATCCTGTTTCAGGGCTCATTTATAGCTGCTTTAACCCAATCCCACCCATTCCTCCCACTATTATGACTCCAACAATGGGAGTAGTCTCTGAATAAGAAACAGAAATCAGGAGGTTCATGTGCTGAATACTGATTTGACTTTCAGACAGAGGCATATGGAATGTATTTTCATAACACCTCAAGTTTCTCCCAATTACCGGCATGGAGATTGCTGAAATCATTTCTGTTAGCATTTTTTCACTACATGGAAACACATCTTGTCACTGGAGGTGGCTGTGCCAGGATTTTTTTTTTGTGCTCGTGTGAGTGTGCTCTCTGTATTGTTCTGGAGTTTGTTCTAAACTGAGGCATCACAGTAAAATAAAATATAGTGGCCATCCAAGTATGTAAGCATTTAAACACGAATGCTCTGTTTGAGGAATTTCAGTCTGGTTTTAGAGAGTATCACAGCACTGAAACTGCATTAGTGAGAGTTACAAATTGTATTCTCATGGCCTCAGATAAGAATCTTGTGTCTGTTCTAGTCTTGTTAGATCTCAGTGCTGCCTTTGACACAGTTGATCACAATGTTCTTGTAGAAAGACTTGAACATGTTGTAGGGATCAAAGGAACAGTGTTAGGCTGGTTTAAATCCTACCTGTCTGACAGATTTCATTTTGTAAATGTACATGACAAATCTTCTTCATACTCCAGGGTTACTTGTGGAGTACCACAGGGTTCAGTGCTTGGACCAATTCTTTTTACTATATATATGCTCCCAATTGGTAAAAATCATTAGACAGCATGGGATAAACTTCCACTGTTATGCTGACGATACTCAAGTTATATTTATCCATTAACCCTGATGAACCTAATCGGTTGGGTAGATTAGAGGCTTGTCTTGAAGACATAAAAAATTGGATGACTCTAAACATTTTGCTTTTAAATCAAGACAAGACGGAAGTTCTCATCTTTGGACCAGAAATCCAGAAAAGGAAATTGCTTAGCCAATCACCTGACCTGAATGGCATTACATTAATCTCCGAGAGTAAGGAACCTTGGTGTTATCTTTGATCAGGACATGTCATTCAAATCCCAGGTTACACAGGTTTGTAGGATTTCCTTTTTCCACCTTCGGAATATTGCTAAGATTAGAAGCATCCTTTC